AACCACCCCAGAATATACTCTAAATAGCTTTTTACAGCTTTTAGGAATTTTACATTGTAGGGACAAAGTTGAAGAAGCTAAAAACAGAATGACAAATTTGCATCATTAGCTTAACTGCAGTTTGAATTATTCTCCTGAGCATATTATTGTACGTTCATGAACAGAACAGTTGTGCTTTGTGACAGTAAAATATATTAAATAAAATTAGAGAATTTAGATCTATGACTCTAACATTCAAGAAGTACTTTTACTTACAGTTTTCAGGATTCTGGGTCACTGGTTTGAACCTCGAGTTATTTATTCAGTAAAAGTTATTACTGGATGTGGGCCCAAAATGGGATTCATACTCCAAACTCCTCAGAACTGTTTAGAACACAGTTCTAGATTACAGAAGAGCATTTAAGAATAATGAGGTATTATTAATAGAGCTTCAGATATGTATTAAAAAAAAAATTCTACAAGAAGGATTTTACCTAAAAATCCATTGAGCCTTTCAAAACTAGTTTTTTCTGTGTAAGTGACCACACCTGTTCATGTAACATCTCAAGAGAGTGCATTCTGTGGAAAACAATCCCCAAGACCTTTTGGCTTTGAATATAAGTTTAATGCTATATAGTCTCAACAGAATAAATATTGAATCTGTTCACACAGGAAAATAGGTCTGAGTAAGTGGATCAGGATGAATCCTTTTATTGACTTGGGCACTGTCTGATACAAACCCAAGAAAGCTGACAGTTTGCAGACAGTGTTACAAGGATCTCTTGCTGGCAAATGCCAGCTGGGACAGACCTCTGAAGTCAAAGGTAAGAATTCACCCTGTATTATCAGCAAACTAAATCCTCAAGCAAATATCTTGTTCAAAGCAGCACTTCTGTCAAATTCTTAATCTATTTCCAGTTACTTCTATAGTCCTGGAGCGCAGCTGGCTGCTCATACTAATGGAGAAAACACCTTATAACATCTCTCCTACCTATAGGATACACACAAGTAAAATGGGATAAAATTTTTACTCTGCACAAGATTGTCTTTCTAAATTACAGCAGTTACATAATATGCTGTCAGACCCATTGTCACTTAGCAGATTAGCATTAAGAAGTGGTTTGTCCAAAATCATTTAATAAATCAGCAAGAGATAACTAGAAACAACATCCTGACCTGAATACACATCCAAACAATGCAGCATTTTTCCCTTCTATCAGCTAGCTACCTGATCACCTGCTTTAAAAACAAATGCTTTTTGTTTTCAGTTTAAAATTTAAGGTCCTAGCAGCTCTAGATCTCTCAATTTTAGCACAACAGGAATTTTAAGTATTCTGAGCAAGGAATGGCAACGCAGCTGGTATTATTTATGTATTTTTTGTTATTCATGTTTCTTTAAACAGATTGTGGATGAAAACAACTTCTGTTTCAGGATATTGCTGACCTAGACTTGATGGCTTGTCACCTGACAAATTAAAAGTTCCTTCCCATCTTTTCTGGGTAACAGGCACAGGCCAAAATTTACTGTGAAGCTTCCCACAAAAACCTGCAACAAGGGATTCTCATACTCATCTATCAGTCTATAAGCACAGGAGGAAAATACTTGTACTTTCTTTTTTACCCCTCCCTGACTTTGCTCCATATAAGAAATTCCTTAACATTATGCTGTCTTCCCTCCCTGCATGGGTACCGAGTTATAGTGCTGCAACAGGTGCAGACAGCAGCTTTCTTCATTTTAGCCTCAGAGCTCTCTGGAAACACAACTCTGCAGAGAGTTCAGGACTTCAGTAACACTCATACAGGTAACTAAAGCTCCACTCTACCTACCAGAAGGGTCAGTTTCAAACCTGCATCAAGAAAGATCTTCAATTTGGGAAAATTACTGTCTACTTCCAGTATGAACTGTTGACCATCTGCTTTTAATTTGACATTGTCTTTTGTTTTATAATTGCACAAGGCAAACAAATCCTCTTCCTTCTTACGATAAAAAATGGATGCATCTGAAAGCCAGCCTTCATGTTCATTCTAATTAACAATGGAATTAAATTCAAGCGCATTCACTGACATGATACAGAATTCCATAAAGACATAGGACTTCAGTTGCCAATGTTTTGAACGGATACGTTACTTTTCCAATTTTACCCTTTTATGAATTGAACATGTATTCTATTATCTGAAAACATTATCATCTAAAAATACCGTTCTATCAGTATTGCAAAAACATGAGGTTGCACATCCATGCACACAATCACCTTGAAGATTTAGACTAAAGCATGACTAAAACATTCCAATACTACAGTTAGAATTTTGCTAAATATTCAAACTCTGAAACAGCCAATTTAAATTTAGGTAGCTAAATGAAACTGTTGAGAAGTTAGTGGGGAAACAACAGTAGGCAACATGGTCCTGACAGTTGGATGCTATTTCTGTGAAGAGGTGACATACAGTGGGTGCATCAGGTGGCAAAGGATGGCACGGAAGTCCACATGAGCCAAAGAAACCAGAAAGTCCAATGCTGAGGTCTAACACAACAGCTTTTAAGTATTAAGCAGAAGGGTTAGTATTCTCTGTCACATCAAGTCTCCTGGCTTAAAGTCCACTGTGCTGAAGCAGACAGCTTTCTAAAGAACTGCACTTAAAGTCAACCCAGTATGTCGGTTCCTTTATTAAGCACCTTTATTGCCATTTTATTCCTTGTCAATACTTCAGTGATATAACAGACTTAACATTAATCCCCAGTACATTCTTCCAATACAGTTTCTAGTTAAGTTGCTTGCATTGGAAAGGTAACAGTCAAGTGGCCAATTATCTGCTAGACCAATTAGATAGTCTCTTCAATATTATGAGTGCAATGGTATTCTATGAATGCAATAGAAACTTTTACATAATAGAACTTCATAGTACAGGAAGTTAGAGAAAGACGATGAAAAGAGAATATCAAATTATTCAAGATGATTAGCAACCATCTTCAGTTTCATGATAAAGAGTTAAATGGCCTGCACACAGTTTGGAGGGGGGAGAAGGTTGAAAGTAGAACAATCAGAGGAAAAGTACACACGCAAGATGAAAACTTGACAGGGGACTTAAAAGGAAAAAAATGGACAGCCTGCAGGTTTCAAATAGCCTCAAGAACATGTGTGAACCTGATAAAATTCATGAAGATATTACATTGCCTAATCCAACTGACATCTCATTAAAAGAAAACAGGCAAAGATAGTTGGGTCCACTTAGATGAGTATGTTAAAACCCAGCACTACTGTAACAAAAGGATCAAAGACACATGTGAATGGTTGCTGGAGCTCCTAAACCTCTGACCCAGCAGGCTATGCCTTGACATAAAGGAAACATTATGCTGACAGACATATTTAGAAGAATCATATATGCTGGGTCAAACTAAAGATCTCTGAAGCCCTCTATGTTGACAGCAGCCAGTAGAAGATGCTTACATATTTTCACAGATAAATCTTAAGTATCTAAATATTTGGGCTCTGCAACCCTTGTGCAGGCAAAAATCCTTGAGCAAGAGTAGCTCAAGTTTTCTTTGAAGCTGCCACAACTCCTAATGAAGCAAGTGACAGCTGGGATTAGGGTGCACTTCAGCTAACCTCAAGATTCAGGCAACTTTTTTCTCTGAAAATTAACCCTCTCCCATCAGACTACAGTCGGAACGCTTTATATTGTTTGCATTACATTTACATGTTGCTTTACAGCTCACAGTACCCTTTTGAAAAAATAGGCAAACAGTTCGCACTTATGTACTTAAACTTTATTTCTTCATAATTACAGGCTAATGTTAGAATTTTTAAACAAAAGGGAAGTCTATAAATAGAGGCTAATCCCACCTGAACAAGTTTTTTTTAAAAAAAACCCAAACAGTTAAAACTTCATAAAGTAATGCCATTTAGCTCACAGCAGTGGTTTGTTGGTAGTCTGAGTAAAAGTACTATAGTCAGAGTCAGTAACATGAAATGTAACATCAAATGACTCAGAACTTTAAATTCCGTAAAGGAAAGCAGGAATATATATATATAATATATACATATAATATTGTGTTGGTCCACTGAGTATACATTTTTAACAAAAGATAAGAAACTATGTAATCCAGTTAAGCATATGATTTGCAAGATTAGTGTACACTCATTACAAAAATGTATAGGTAAGTTATAACTATTTAATACTTGCAAAATTTTAAGTTACTTTTTTTGAGCAGGTGTTTAAATGCTCATTTCCCAGTGCAAAAGAAAAGCCATCCCAGTCAGGTTACCCATTTTTCCTGAAAAATTGAAAACTACCCTCAAAATCGTGCAACAGCAGCATTGATAGGTAATGGGAAGAGCTTAAATATACTGAAGCATGGCTGAGTTCTCTCCCTTTCCCCCCCAGTGCTATGTGTTGAAACACTTCAGTTTCCTCAACAGAAATACCACAGGTTAAAAGTGCAAGAGAAAAAAAACCCAATCTCTTGATGTTTATGCTGCTGCCATGCATTTTTCTTAGATAGGGCAAAAGATTATTCTTTTTGGAATCATTTTAATGAAACTGATGCTCCAGAAGAGAGTTCTTTCAAAATGAATAATAAGTTATTTTCATTAAGTTATTCTCATTAACATTCTATCCACATCTTACTCTGACTCAGCGACCATAAAGAAATCATTCAGTTTAAGGTGCAACTATCAGTTGGCGTTCAATAAATTACATATACAGAAAACAACTGTGGTTAAAAAAAATAAAAATCAGACTACCTGTTTTTTCTTTCTATTCTCAATCCTATTTCAAATTGAACTTATTAACTTGCCAGTTCAGCTGCATATTTCACAGGCAAAAGTGGCTCAAATAGCAGTGGGGTCTCATAATTTGACAGTCATCTTGGCCAACAGCAAATGCACGTGAACCTTCAACTTAATTGCTTTATAAAACAAAATAACTGGTCTGTCTTAAAACCTATGACCGTGCAAGAAAAGCATTAAAGGTTTGAGAAAGACACACTCTT